TGGGCCAGGAGTTGGACTTGTAGATGATTCCTGTGAGCCCCTTCCAAATCAGGATAATATATTCTATGATTGATGATGATTCTATGAACTGTTTTAACTCAAAAGAAGACATGTGTTTGCAGTTATTTCAAAACTGAGGCTGTTTTGAGGATATGGGAATGATTTTGAATTCTGTTTTATATCTTTGCATTATTCTTCCTTAAATGGAAGCCATTGCCACTGTCCAGCAACTAATTTAGCTTGACTGGGTTCTACTCCTGTTACATGCTTTATATCAAGCTATGTCCACCTTCTTTGTTTAGGTGTTGCAGGCTATAGCTATGCACAAGGTGTCTTCTGCATCCTTCTGAAGATTATACATCTGTCTTCTGACGTTTAATATTAGTGTTAATTTTAATGGAAGAGTAGAAACACACTTGGAAACTGTCTAACAATGCTTTTGTTAAGAATTTCCAATATCATTAAAAAAAAGAAGAGAAAAACAAAAGCTGCCTTAAAGACTTACCAGTTTTTGAATAATAGAAATGAACTGCCAAAATGGGATTTGGAATTTCAACTTTTATAAAGGTATTATGACAAGCGAATTAAAGCTGTATTTTATTTATGTTTTGCTCATGCAGCTCATAGAAATATTCTGGTCACGCTTGTCAGGCACTTTTGTAAACTGTCTTAGGCCTAACAGCTGCATATTATATATCTGCCTCTGCTGCCAAGTGACACTGCTATCCCTGTACCGCATGGCCCCTTTTCTCCCTGGGTAGCAATGCTGCCAAAGGCATAGCAGCATGCTGAGCAACAACATCAACTGGTCAGGTAACAGCAAGAACACTCAGAATCTGCAAATCCCAACGCTGCCCTTGCTGATCAGATCTTCAGTAGAAAAAACTCAAAAAATAATTCAATAATTGTCAACAACTTCTCCTAACTATGATTCTTCAAAATAACAGATTAAGGATTGCGAAGAAATAATACCATCCTGATGTCAGGTCTCCCCAGAGCTTAGTTTTGAACCAGTTTCTTTAAAGATAATTTAAAAAATATTTTAATATAATTAAGTAAATAATTAAATTTAGATGTTATTAGAGAAAGACTGCCACTACATCCTTGAGACATACCTTGAGAATACCTGTGTTCATCAAAAACAAATGTATGCTTGAAGCATACCTCTTGTAGCTTAAAAAGAAATCCGTTTGATTTTGAAGCTTTTATTATTTAAAATTAAGTTCTCTAGAATTCTTTGCTGAGGTATAAGGAAAGCAGCTATTGAATAACTGTCATTACTGTGGGATGCAGAGACATGATGGAGAGCTGCTGCAAATTAAACCAGACCCTCCTATCAGCTAAAGCTTACCAGGTTAGCTACTTTTTCCCAATCCCTACCTCCTTGTTTTCCTCTTATTTAATTCACATTTAATTGAAAAAGGCAACACCAAAGAGAAAGAAACAAACAAGTAAAAAAAACACTATGCAAAGAAGAATTTAAGAATATTTCACTCATCCATTTTCTCTCCAACACTTCCAATACCAGGCAAACAATTTCACACGGAGGCACAAGGAGCTAGCTGAAGCAAATACATAGCATCTGAATAATTTCAGCTCTGCAACGATTTCAGGCAAGCATTTGCAACATCACTGTGGCCTAGAGTGTTGGAGTTCCTTATATCTCTTGTAAATTCCTCCATTAACAGTATGGTTCTTCAGCACACTGGGTACAGCATACGTGTGTCCTGAGCCTTCACTTCAGCAAAAACTCTTCACTGGGCCTTCAAACATGTTGCAGCAAATTCATTTAATCCTAAATACAGCATCTGAGTTCACAAAAGAATAGAATTGGGTTGTGTTCAAATCTTTTATAATACAAACTGTGTTGCTGCCACTTGGAAAAAGAAAACCCTACAAAAACAGCTAGCCAATGAGCCATACTATATTAAGATCCATTTGAAGAACAATTAATTAGCAAGACACCAGCAGGATGTTATGGATTTTTACTTCCTCTATGGTCAGTCAATAATTAAATATTGATCAGTTTTAAAGAAATTTGATCATATTTGTGCATCTGAACTTGTTCGGTGCTTTCAGAAGAGATAAAGCAGTTGAATTTTGAACCTCTTTACCACAGTCCTCAAATTGACATCTGTATAAGAAAAAGCCTAAAACAAACCAAAAACCACAACGCCAAAACCCACAACTTCGCTACAGTTTTGAGATCTAGGAACAAAGATATATATGTTTCTATATTTGAGAATCTTTTTACATAAACAATTGGATACAAAGTGGCTTCAGAAGATGTTTTTTAACACATCAAACTGTATGTGGATTAGTAAGTGTTACACATGATTAAGTTAGGCTATTCACTTCAACAAAAAGTCAACATAAAATACCAACTGTGGCCTACAAGGCCTTTCTGTAAGTAATGAACAAAATATGGTGGCCCAATTTCATCCCTGTTACAATTGAAATCAATTTAAGAAATCATTTCAATGAAGCAAAACTCAATCCCCTCCACAATGCTGAAAGAGTAGATATGAAACTTCAAAATCTGGTCATGTGTACCTTGACTTGCACTCACTGTATATATACATATACACTCCTCTTCTGCCTAACCTGTCACTGTACAGCATCAAGTCTGTGATTATATACCTTTAAATTCAGTGCCTCCATAAATGGTTACTCCTTGGATTTTGATTTTCTTTGTAGGTTTCAGGTAACATGATTACCTCAGGGGGAGCTGTAATGAAATGTTATGCAAACTTTGTGAGGTAGATGGAGGATATGAATATCTTCATTAATGGCCATAAGTGATCATATGTCAATGACTATCCCATTCAAAATTATGCATCTCAAAGTAATTGGTTTGTCCCTTGGAGTAGAAGAGTGGAGTGCAGGAAATAACTTCTTTAGCAAGAGAACACTCAAAACCCTCAAACATCCATCTAAAAACAAAAAGTAACATCTTTGCTCTAGAACTGTATAAGTAAAATAGAATTTATAAATAAATAGACATTTTATTTATATGCATGCAATAGCCTGCCTGTTACAACACGTATGAGTAATGCAGTTGCCTTAAATCATAAAACAAAGTATTTCATGTATCTACTGTTAGCGTATCAATGTACTTTGGGGTAGTCACAATAAGTGTTAATTAAATAAAAATTTTATTGGAAGTAAGGGATATCAATGCTCCAATTTTTCTTCTTTGCATTGTTTAAATAGGCTTGGGAGTAAGAGGGAAGCCCCCAGAAGAACACACATTACAGATTACAGAGAAAGCTTTTCACACAAATGATGCAGGGATATTGAAGACTACTATTGTGACAAAACACTGACTTAATAAAAATAATAATCCCCAGGAACAACAACTACCAAAAAAAAAAAAAACCAGCAACAAAACCACACACAAAATAAAGGTTTTGCACTTTCAATCTTTAAACAAGTTAATGCCTATTTTCTTTCTTCCTGCTAATGTTGTGATAAGGTTTAATATACAGGTATCTAACCATTCAGCCACCAGATATCAAACTGTTGACAGATTAATCCCCCCTGCAATTAATAATTATTTATTTGATCACAGATATTAACATGTAGCAAAATCTGTTACAAAAGACACAGCTCAGATTTCTGTGCTTTTGATGTTTCAGTTGTACTGAGATAAGGCACTGACCTTTATTCTTGATTGACAATGGGAGAATACTCCACTTACAAGCTTACTACTGTGAAGCCTTGTTGTCAGTGTGAAGAATCAAAAAATTGTGTTAAAAGGCAGACAGAATTCAATACCTTCCTCAACATTTGGAACGTGAGCTTTCCAAAAGATCATCAGTTCTTGTCATTTCCCCGTAAGTACAAACAACTCAAGATTTCACTAAGAGGGATAAAATACTCTCTGCAGGTTAGGGGGAAGGGAGGGTTACAGTCGAAGAACTACTTGGTAAAGGACCTTATTTCAGGTTTCATCTTCAAAGGGCTCTACTATGCCATCTAGGATTTTCAGGTAATAAAGACAATTTACCCTTCTTATCAGACCATTTCCATTCAAAGAGACTTGAGGTGGCTGTACCACAAGAAATATTTTCCTGTGCCTCTTGAAGTCAATGTGACTGTGATTGTAAATTACTCACTAATGTAAAGAATAGCAGACTGTTGCATTATGCAAGCCCATCCACATTCTTTTGCATCCCTGTAAATGCAGCTACTTTCTTGTCTTGATTGTACTGTACACTCTAACAAAGGGTTTCACCTAATAAGCTATTCAGGAAACTTACATAGCATGCAGGTCATCTCAATCCATTTCCTTGCTGCTACAAGTAACATGAAGAATGCTTTCAAACATCATCTGAGACAGGAACATTTTGAAGTACCTTAAATTCTCATAAAATATTCACTAGAGCTATCCAGAGTATCAGTCCTATTGTGGCCTCAAACACAGTTAAATCATGTACTACTGCTGCAGGAAGAAAAGTCTGGAAGGAAATCTTTACCCCACATAGGTAGAGTATGTTCAAAGTCCCATGCATAGAGAAGAAAAGATGGGGGAGAGGGAGAATGAAAATTGCATCTAAAATTAAAACCAAACCAAAACAAACAAACAAAACCAACCACCAGCTATTTGCTTTTAGTTATTCTAGAACTACATTATAATCACCATGAGATAAATGTTCTAACCTCCATCTGCACCATCCCAATCTTTCTCCTCCCACATCAGTGCTGAATTTGCTGGAAGAGAAGAAGGAATCAGCAAAAATATTTCCAGTTAGAAGAAGACTTGCATGTAGTCTGGAACAGTACTGACATCCCATTTACCTAAGATCTGACCACTATGGGACCTCTAAATAGCTCCTTTCTCTATCATTTGGGAAATGCCATGCCCAACTACTGGAGCAACACTTTTCTTCTGGAGTCCCAGCTGGCAGACAGCCTAACAGAGTATCTAGACAGAGGTTTAGAAATTAAAATAAATAAATAAATAAAAGTGCGGGGGAGGGAAAAAGAAGCTGGCTTACGTGCTCCAGTTTGTCTTTCCTCCTCAGCCAGACACTGGCACTGTAGTCCTGCTGCTTGACAGTGCTGTAGAAGTTCGCACCTACTCTGGTGAGGCTTGGGGAAGGCTCCCTGGGTCTGCTCTTCAGCCTCATCTGCTCGAAGCCCTCATGGGGGGATGAGGAGAGCCAGTCATGCCTGACTTCCATCTTGACATGACAAGGCAAAGTCCAAGGGAAAAAAATCAGAAGAAATCAAGAAATTAAGAGGCACTAAACGAAGATGGTCCAAAAGGGAATAGGAGGAGGGGAAGAAGAAAGAGAAGAAAAAAAAAAACCAACCAAAAACCTTAAAACCAGAAAATGGTAAGAGAAGGGGAAGACAAGCAGAAATAAGGTAGGAGTGAAGGGAGAAAGAAAGGCTGCAGGTATGAGAGAGGAGGGGGCTGGGAGAGATGAAGGGGCACTCGGGAAAGAAGACGCTCCACGATGCCGCTGCGTGTTGCCCTGGCCGCCAGGAAGCTGCAGTCCAGCACCGAGGCAAGGGGAAGCGGCCGCCTGCGGCTCTGCCCGGGACGCCGGCGAGGGGCGGCGCGGCCCCGGCAGCCGGGCCGGGCGGGGCCGCCGCCTCCAGCCCGCCTGCAGGTTGGCGCAGTGGAGGGGCCGCCGCCGCCCGGGGATCAGCCCGGCTCCTCCCTCGCCTCCCCTCCCCGCAGCCACCTCCGGGGGAGCGGCCAGCGGCACGGAGAGCCCCTTCCTTTCCACAGGAGCCGCCGCCGCCGCCGCCCTCCTGGGGTCCCCGTGCCTCTGGGGAACTTGTCTCGGCCGCTCTCCCCTCGTCCCGCTGGCACCGACCCGCCCGCAGCCCGCCGAGGGCTGGGCGGCCGCTTGCCACTCCCTCTCCTGCAAGCCTTTGTCCGATCTCCCCACGGCGGAGGCTCCCGGGACCGCCGCCGCTGCCCTGCCCAGCCCATCCCGGGGTGGGCTGTGCCCCTCGGCCCGCCCGGCCCCGCCGCGGCCGCCGGGGATGTGGGGCTGCGGCCGCCGCGCCGCTCTCTCCCCGCAGCAGCTCGCTGTCACCGCGTCCCCTCCCTCCCTGGGCAGGGGCTCCCGGTTCTCTCAGGCGCAACCAGACCGAGCTGCCGGTCCTTTCGCCGGGGCAGCCAGCAGCGCACCTCCCCTGACCGGGAGGCGAAAGCCCCGGCTGGGCTCCGGTCCAGGTCCGAGTCCCGCCTGGAAGACCCCGCCGCCGCAGCGGCTCAGCCAGCACCAGCCCTCAGAAACCGACTCTGTTCTGTCGTCCCCATGGACAGAGTCGCTGGCATGCCCACATTCGTAGATCCCTGGCATCTAGGATTTCTCTCACGAAAAGACCTTCTGGGTGGTTTCTATAGTCCGCTGCTACCTCTTTTAGTAGAAGTTGGTGTGTGTTGCTATTTAGCTCAAACGTGTTTCAGCAGAAAAAAGGACTTTCCTTTTTCACACTATGAAAAGCCACCTCGCTAATTGCCCACACACTCTGTAAAGCTATATTAGGCATAGACAAGAAAACTTTCTCACGCTGTGCATCAAGAAATATTTACTGGAGCTCAGAACAACATTTCAGTTTCCTGGTCAATATTTCTCATCAGGCAAGTGTTTGCATGTATTCCAGTCCTTTGGAAATAGGTGTCTCTATGAGTATGTATGATTGATACATCAGCATCTGCTGATTTTTATTTCCCTGCTACACAACTACACTGATGTCGCTATTCTGATAAAGGGGTGGTCTACACTTGAATGCAGTTAACTGAAAATAGCCTTTGAATGGTAAAGAAGTTAAACCAGACAAATTTCTGCAAAAATTACAGAAGAGCCCTTGGCTAATCACTTGATCTACAGTGAGCTCTACTTCCATCTGGTGAAAAGGGACATTGAAAATATCCTCAGGATTTGATTTAAGGTGTATTACTGCAAAATAACAGCCAGAAACCAGACAGATAATTAATTTTTTTCCTGTCAAAATTCTAAAGATAAAGGCAAAAGTCACATCACAACTCATAACTGAGGATTATTTATAATAGATAATACTAGTATATTTGTGAAATACTGGAAAAATAAACTGAACAGTAGCAGAAGTTTGGTAGGAACATAAATTACAGCATCTTTCTCTAAAACTAGACATTTAAAAATTCTTACCTAAATACTATTACAAAAACGAGTGTAACAAAATTCCAACAACCAGAACCTTCAATATTATATACTTTTAACTCACCAGTATAAAGGACTTACAGTTTTCTAATAACTTTCTAGTTTCTTCAGTTAGGAGATGTAGGTATTTCCAGGATTGTCCATACAGCCTCAAAACACCTGAGATCTATGTGATCCTGCTGCATGCAGGACACACTGGAAGGCACTGAGATTTAATCTATGTCATATCCCAGCTGCAGCAGTTTTAAGCTTGCACGAATAATTTGATTAGAGATTGCTGAACTGAACTTTAGCTGCAAATGCCCATTTAGGAATTCTATATGCTCACAGATGCACCAACTCCCAAAGGACTGGAATAAATGCGAACATTCAGTCAGAAGAAAGGAAAAGAAGGGAAAACAAAAGATCCTCTGAAGAGTTTCTTCAAATATATAATATCCCAACAGGTGTACAGATACACACACACATGTATAGATGTATAGCATGCTTAGAAAACCTGCTATAAATCAGGAGAGCCTGCTTTATGCTGCTTTTGCATGAGAATTTTCACATTGTTTCTCTAGCAGTACATGAAGCACTTCAACCTTTGATTTATCCTTCTGATCTGTCTTGGTTTTGCTGCTTGCAAATATTCATAAAGAGAAGTTGTTAGTGTCACTCTGCAGTTGCCACCTGCTTTGCTCCCCATCCCTTAATACTGTAACAGAATCAATATGCCACTGTACTTGAGTGCAAGACATTGTCTCATTCCCCCATACGTACTGGATTAAGATTTGTTTAAAACATATGTTAGCTATTTGGTAGGGTTAATTCATCCTACCTTCCCTAGCTACCAGCAGACCTTCTCTACTGCCAGAGGAACTTCTTTGTGCCTGTCCAGAACAACCAGATAATGGAGTCTTAAAGCTGCTTTTAGTCTCCAGCTATAAAGAGAGAGTTTGCGCCTCTTTCCAAACCCCCTCGTTGACATGTAGGTGTGCTGCTTTCTACTACTACTACTGCCAAAGTTGTTATTATTATCCCAGTCCTACTCTCACTAGGAATGAGAGAGAAAAGGTAAAAAAAGAAGCCTGCAAAAAGTCTGTTAAAATCATGTGAACAAGCTATGCCTGCTAAGCTTTTCTCGCTTGCTGACCCCAGTCAGAAAAGATTTCTAGTGGGAAAATGTAATCTAAAGACTATAAATGTTTGTATTTTCATAAAAATTTTACTCAGGCAAAGTAATAAGCTAAGAGTACAATGTCAGTGCCTAGTGAATACATGGTTATTAATCTAATTTGAAAAGAGTAAAGAACTGTTTTCCAGATTTTGTGTTCCAGTTTATTTCCAGGTTAGATCTATGCAAACTCCCCCTAGTTTTGTTCAAACAACACAAGCATATCAACCAACTTAATTCAAAGCTAATTCAACTCATTAAAATTCAATCAGTTCTGCAGTAGATAAGCAATTCCAATTGGCTGTATGAGCTGGATTAAACTGCTGTCTTTCTCTTCCATGCAATTTTCAGAATTACCCAAACACCTGCTCCTGTCAAGGCCCTTTGCTTCCATACTCAAAAGACTAGAGCAGCAAGGATGACTGAAATTACAAACATCACACTTATATAATTAGCAATAGATGCAAGTTATGCATATCATTATATGATTTTAACTTACCATGGTTCAGGCTACAATTTTCTTCAATTCACTGCCCATCTTATCAAGACTCAGATGAACTCCTTTAAAGCAATCTACAAAATTTTCCATTTTCTATACAAGCAGGATGAATGCTGTAGGGGGCAGAGTTAACTCAGGCCAATACAAAGAAAAATAGGATATAAGTGGAAACATGTAGGTAGGGCTTCAACAGATATACTTTTTTAAAAAGACAGCCTCTATGTCTTCCAAAAATATTATCTAGATAAGTTTTAAAGGACATCCTCCCTGCGCTCCAGCTTTCTAAACATATTCTTTTTTAATGAAGGGGTTCTAGCACGTCAACACATCTACAAGAACCTTAGACCTTGTATCAGCAAATGGCATATACCTAAAGCTATAAAAACTCCTATTGCAAAACTTTTAATTTGGCTGCATAGCAATCCTTGCATGTGTGTACCTGTAACAGATTCAAAGCCTCCTTACAAAGTACTAATTTCTAATGCAGAGCTGGGCTGCACACAAGCAGGGACCCACTTTTTAGAATGTACCACACCTGACCAAAACAGCAGGCAGCTGTTTTGCCTTGAAGGCTTCAGCTGCTATCCAGTTAGAGGGCTGAGACTGACACCAGCTCCAGCAGCAGTGCTGGGCCTGGCAGCCGGGTGGGAAGGGAACTGTCACCTGCTTACCCAGCTCAGCTGAACTTGCTTTCTCATCAAAGACTTGACAAAAACACTGAAATGGGCAAATCTTTTTAACCTCTCAATAACAATGGCCTGTTCCCGATTAAATTAATCATCTTTCAAGCAATTCTTAGAATTACCAAAACATCACCTCCTTCCTAGTCCCCCCTAATTCTATCAGCCTACAAAGAAAAAAACCCATTGCAGCAGGCTGTTTCCTCTATGGTGGTATGCTGGCCATGTCTCCAAGCTATCTGCTACTACATCTTGGAAAAAGCTGCCAATCATTGAAACATGAATTTGCAATAGGGAGGGACCAGAGAGGGGAAAAAAAAGGAAGAAAAAGATTTTTTTTCCCTATAGTGCAATGTCCTACAGTGCCAAGCTTGTCTGACTTTGTGGTCAGCATAGCAGCACAATAGGAAATCCTATGCAGCACAATAGGAAACCTTTTTATCTTTATCTTCAATTTTTGGGCAGGAATTGCAATCACAAGTATGAAATGGGAAGGTCAATCTAAAGTTAAAGGGAAATTTTGGAGTTGGAGGTGCTTCAGATTTCAGGTTATGAACATATCAGACACCTACCTCAGAAATAACATGGAAACATCATCTAATACTGAAAATGTTCCCTGCTTAGCCCTCCCTTTCTGAATTCAACAATTAACCAAACTCATCTGTGTCTCTTGCATGAAATTTTAACCTCAAACTCTTTCTTCTTTTCATGATTTCTGATTCAAAATAAACAAAAATCAGCAACAAATAAAAAAATCCAAAGCCACAAACAAACACAACAAAACCCCACAAACAAACACATAACAAACCCTAACAAAGAACAACCATGTGTTAGGAACATCATTAGTCTTGAGACATCTTTTGTCTGTCAGATATGGTTGAAATAAGGCATGTCCCAGAGCATAGTCCAGGATTGACAGAGAAATAGTATCTATTACATAAACTTTGTTTTCTTTAGAAACCAAATAAAAATACCTGAGATATCAACTAATCCATCTTCCATTTGAAATAAAATGTT